GAGAGAGAGAGAGAGAGAGAGAGAGAGAGAGACAGACAGAGAGAGAGAGACAGAGACAGAGACAGAGACAGAGACAGAGAGGTAGAGAGACATCCAAGCACCTATAAATTGTTGGCTAACAAAATCAGGCCTTCAGTACAGTCCTGACTTTCCTGAGAATTATGAAAAAGTGTAGAGACAGAAAATGAGCTCTTTAGTATGACAGAAAGAAGCAGGCATTTTTTTTTTTCTAAAGAGATGAAGTTCTTCCTGTCATTGAATTTAAGGAGAAATCTTGTCAGGACAGTCTCAGTCAGGGTTTCTATTGCTGTGATAAAATTCTGTGACCAAAAGCAACTTGGGGAGGAGAGGATTTATTTCATTTTTGACTCATCATGGAAGCAAGTCAGTAAAGGACCTGAAGGCAGGAACCTGGAGGCAGGAACTTCGTGAAGCAGAGGACATGGAAGAGTGCTGCTTACTGGCTTATGCTCCTCCAGAATTGCTGTTTGCTTTTTTACACACTCCAGGATCTCTTAATCAGAGATGGTGCTGCCCACAGTGGGCTGGGCTCTTCCACACCAATCATTACATACTAAGGGCTGAAGTAGCCCTTAGCCTTTCCCACAAGGCATTATCTTAATTGAGGGTCCCTCTTTCCAGATGACCTAGTCTATGTCAAGTTGAAAAAACCTAGCTAGCACAGGGAGGTACTTGAATAAAGTACACTGAATGATTCAATATATATCATGAAATATGTTTTTGTAGATGAATATTCTTCATAAGCATTTAAATGTTCTTTATTCCATTATCTTATGTCTATGGGTGTTTTGTCCTTGTGTATGCATGTGTGTACAGTGCCTGCAAGATCAGAAGAGAGTGTCAGATCCTCTGGAAAGGGAGTTACAGATGATTGTGAACTGCCATATGGATGATGGGAATCAAAGTTGGATCCTCTGGAAGAGCACTCAGTGCTCTTAACCACTGAACCATCTCTCCAGTCTCTCAAAAATCATTTTTTAATATTAATGCATAAAAACTAAGAGATTAACACTGAGTCTTAATATAGTAAAGATATTTCTATAAGAGACCAAAATGAGATCAAGGTAAGTTTCATTCTTTGGAATACCAAGCAAATGTAAGTCAATTCTCTCTTATCCTCCCACTCACCTTAAAGCATTATTTCTTAAAAAGGATATTCAAGCTCACAACATTATTTGTACAAAGTGAATGTCTGTGTGGTTTCATTTGTAATTCATATTCCTCATGAAACAATAGAAGTTCAACTGAACTGGTTCAAGTGAGTATGCTTTTTCTTTTCTTAGCTCTCTTCACTCCTCTCTCTTCCCTAAATTTCTGTAAGCTCCCTGAGATCCAAGTTCACTTTTTGTCCTCAACTGAGTAGAATCAATCTCTTTCCTTCCTTATTAAACAAAGCAAAAGTCTGGTTTGATTGGTTATATAATTTCTAACTGTTTTTGCCAGTTGGTTACCCAATATCATACAGTCAGCCCTGAAAACAGGCATACAAGTAACATTATGCAGACTGAGCAGGGTGTACATATGTATTTAGGAGTATCTGTGCATAGACATGTGCGTGTAGCAACAATGAATGAAAATAGAGCCCATGATTGAAAGAGAGCAAGGAGGGGTCTATGGAAGGGTTTAGAGGGAGGAGAGGAAAGGGGGAAATGGAGATGTAATTGTATTTTAATCCAAAAAATAAAAGAAATAACTTTTTAAAGGCCTTCATGCTTTCTTCTTTGTCTTAGGTTGTTTTTCTGTTGCCGTGATGAACACCATTAGCAAAATCAGCTTGGAGAAGAAAGGGTTAAGAGCCAAAGCAGGAATTCAAGGCAGAAACCTGGAGGCAGGAACTGAAACAGAGACCATAGAGGAAAGGTGGTTATTGGCTTGCTCAACTTGCCCTCTATCTAGCCCAGGACCATCTGTGCAGGGGTGGTACCACCCACAGTAGCTTGGACCCTCCCACATCAGTCACTAATCAAGAAAATGTTCCACAGACACACCCACACACCAGTGCGATAGAGGCAATTCCTCAATTGAGGTTCCCTCTTCCCATGCAACTCTGGTTTGTGTCAAGAACAAAAACTAACAAGCACACCAACCTATGACACTATCCCTTAAGAATTTCTGCTATGGAAATAATATTAAATTATATAGTTTTAAAAGACTTTCACCTTGTCCAAAACACCCAATCCTATACAAAACACAATTGTTATCATATTGCTTCTGCCACAGGACATTGGGAAATTTCCAAAGTAATGAAACAAACAACTCCAATGGGTCTTGGGTACCTTTAAAAAGGGAAGAGTTGAGAATGGATCTCATGAGATTATCCATCAGTTTTGAAATTCTGAGGCTTGGAAATAAAAAAACTAAAGTATAGACAGGTACCTTTGAAAAGTACTTGTTCTGTACTTCGGACATTTTGACCATGATGTGTGTCAGTGAAGTTCTGCGCTGGCCGTGTCCATATGGAATTGTGAAGCATTTAAATGTCCATTTCTTTCTTTTGATTGTCCCTTGTTCCTGTAATGGAACCCATAAGGTCTTTCTGAGGTCCAGAATGATAGATGTCTTTAACACAGAGATCTCAACTCTCTTAAAATTTCTTCAGTGATAATGTTTTTTATTTTTTATTTTTTGTTCTAAAGAGATGACTCTTTGTGGGATCTTTAATGATTCCTGGCCACCCAAAGGACTCAGCTAAGATTAAAGCTTGCAAATGTCAGCCTTTTACTCATAAACTGTATTAACCACCATTAACCATTGATTATATCTTCATGATGAAGCCCTAATAAAAATCTCAAAAATGTAAGGTTTGGAGATTTTTTGGATTGCTTAACCTGGGAATGGCTTGGAGGTTGTGGTGCCTGGAGAGGGTCTGGAAGTTTTGTTTCTTATTCTCTTGTAACTCTCTTCCATCTGAACACCTTACTACATGCCTTGTTATGCATTAGGTAATAAATCAATAAATGTAAGCATTTCTCTGTACTGTTTTTGTTTGAGTTTTTGAGACAGGATCTCTCTACATAGTCATGGCTGTCCTGGAACTCACCATGTAGACCAGGCTTGCCTTGAACTCACAGAGATTCCCCTGCCTCTGCCTCCCAAGTGCTGGGATCAAAGGTGTGTGCCACCATACCCAGCCTGTTTTCTGTATTCCTTAATCTGCCTTAGAAAATTGATAGAGTTCAAAGTGAGGGGTGGGAGCCTCCAAATTGTAACCAACTGAAGTGGGAAACCAGACCTTCAAATGGGGGTCATTTTTGTGGGTCTGAGATGGTAACTTGTGGGATCTGACTCAAACACTAGATAGAGCCTGTCAGAATTGAATTGGAAGTCAATTAGTTGACATCCACTGAGGCATTAATTACTATAGGAGACGACTCCCCCCATCCTTTTCATGGGCAGAGTTGAACTATAGCCATACAACTAACTGTATAATAGAACATTTTTTTCTGATCAAAATTATATTGAAGAAAAACATTTTGTTTATGTTCAATAAAACATTTTAAAAAATTTCTAAATGATCAGGAGCCCCAAACAACAGAAGGAAGAAAACACATTCTTCAAAACAATTACATGATGTTCGGTACACCTTTCTACACTACAGAACGTTTTTTTGCTTTTTATACCCGATCTTTCATTTAGTCCTCATAAAACCTTTATCAGGGAACTGCTAAGACAGAGAAAGAACCCGAGGCTTAAAGACTAACAAGTGACCATAATTGCAGTTACCAGGTGATAGAACTGAGATTCAGAGGTGGGATCCTGAGGTTACTCAGCCACAATTATTCACTCTCCCAATCATCATTGAAGAAGCAATGGACTTTTGCAGCATAGCTTTGTTTAGACCTCAGTAACAACCTTTTGAAAATCAGAAGACCAACTAATGAAGAAGAGTGAGTAAAGGTCTTTTGCAATTCTGTTACCTCTCTAGAAGAATACTTAAACAAAAGTGAATGTTTTATTACTCTTAAGCTTACAGAATGCAGATATACATTCATGTATGTGACCTTGCCTTATAAAAACCAGAAGAATGTGGAATGAGAACCTGGATGTGAATTGCTTTTCTCTCTCCTGCTATAATTTAATGTTTTCTTTTCCTCACAGAGATTTGTTGGTGTGTTTCATTGTAACTGGAACACGGTGGGTACTTTTAATGACCACATTTTTAATTACACGACAAGAACAGCAGTCAGGCTGAAATTGGCTGTGGGCCAGGCTTATGAGGACTGGCCTTGAAGATGAGGGGAACAAGGCATAAAGAACATGGGATTTGCCAGAGCTGTGGTAGAAGCTGACCCCAGGCAAGCATTGTGTGTCTGAGCTGGGTTTTGATGTAATGTTTTTCTTTTGATATGCCTTTGGCTATTTGTGACAGCTTTGCCACTCTTGAAGAAAGGTGCTTGTCTTATCCATTATTTTATGGACAGTCACTCTGGCTCTTCTGACAGAGTCCAGCTGTATTTTCCATTCATAGCTGGCTGTGGTTCTTGTCCTCAGAGAATTTAGAGAAATTTGTTAGAAACCCAGGACTGTGATCCAGACATTGCACTCAAGATATTATGTTAGCCTGAGGGGTCTGTCTTAGAAAGTACCACCTATATCTTTTTAGATTTATTTTATGTGTATGGGTATACCTTTGTATGAATGTGTGATGTGTGTACATGTGAGTGTGCATGCATGTGTGTGTGTGAATGCCTGTGGAGATCAGAAAAGAGTATCAGATCCCCCTGAAGATGGAGTTACAGGCACTGTGAGCCACCTAATTTGGGCACTGGGAACTCACTTGGGTCCTCTGGATGAGCATCAAGCACTTATTTTTTTTTTGTATTCTAGTTGTATATTTTTTATTTTTACTTTTATTATTAAGAAATTCTCTATTCATTTTACACACCAACCACAGATTCCCCTTTCCTCCCTCCCTCCACTCCCCCCAGCTTTTCCCCCAACCCACCTCCCATTCCTACCTCCTCCAAGGCAAAGTCTCCCATGGGGAGTCAGCAGAGCCTGGTACATTCAGTTGAGGCAGGTCCAAGCCCCTCCCCCCTGCACCAAGGCTGCACAAGGGGTCCCACCATAGGCACTGGGCTCCAAAAAGCCCGTTCAGAGCATCAAGCACTTTTAATGCTTGAAGCTATCTCTCCAGTCCCCACCTACAATTATCAATAATATATTTATTAAAGGCATTGGGAAATGATGTGATTAACATTGGTCTGCTTCTTCAAGGAGTTATGTGAAGAAGCCTAAACTGAGTGATATAGTTTTTATTTATCCCAGAATATTGATTTATGACCCATACCTTTATGAGGTTTTTTTGTTTATCTCTTCATAGTTTTCTGTAATGGAAAGGTAGTTCCTCTTCTTATTGTTACCAATATCATATTCTTTTTTGGTAGAAACTTGAGAGAGGAAAGGATTTAAATATAGATTTTCAAGACACTCTGGAGCTTTAACTGCACACAATTTACACTTGTGATCACCTTGGCCTTCATTAGATTGTGTGCTCTGTTTATTTTATGACATAAAAGATTACACAGACAATGAGTATAACCTGCTTTTTGAATGATCACCTCAATGCCTCAGAGTCAAAGATAACTTGGGCCTTGGCACCAGATAGATCCAGGCTTCAATCTCCGTTTTGGCAGTTACTGGATTTAGAGAGGGTATTGTCATCTCATGGCTCATTTTACCCTTCTGCAAAATGTGGATAATGGTGATTTCCTTGGATGCATGGACTGAGCTCTATAAACATTTCTCTGGAGGGGAACCATGGGGGTCACCGGGAGACAATATCTGCACCCCACTAGCATCTACTGAAGGGTGGCTGGGCTGGATCCTAAAGGACACAGAGGAAGCTTTCTCTGAGTTTTGCTTTTTACCTGCTTTTTTTGTAATGTTAAAACAGGAACACCTCACTGACTGCCTTTGCTGTTACCATGGTGATCCAGGTTCATTTTAGAAGGAGTGACAGGACAGATTGGTCTGAAGAATTGTGAAATCTCACACTCTAAAAATAAGGACTGGGAAGTCACAGTGGCACTGACAATGGAGGATGGGTAGAACTTCTGCTATCTCTCAGCAACACAGAATCAGAAAACCCACGGTGAGCTCGGAATGCTGCCAGAGTATGGGTCTCCAGGTTTATCAGGGACAGTTGTGTGAGTGGTAAGTCATAAGAGTGCCACCAACTGTGACATTTCTTTCTCTTTGGATTCTTTTTATGCTTCATGTCTTCCCTCCTGTTCTGTGCCTTTCTACCATCAGACATCTGTTCCTAGGCTATTCATTCTTACTACATAGACACAGAAATAATTTAATGGGCATTAAACACAAGGATTCCTATAACATTATTTAAGAAAATTTCAAATATGGAAAAGTAGGCTGTATTCATTATCCAATTTCAATATGTCTCAATTCTTGGCTAACATGTATCTCTATCACTAACTGCAGGGAGAGCCTCCAGCAGCCCAGGGTATGCAAAAAAATCCACAAATGCGGTGAGGGCTAGACTTTTCTATATGAGGGGTAAATAAGGAAACACACACTTTCTGATGGTAACTTTCTCTTTTACTTCATCTCAAAAAAATCTCTTTCTGGGGTTGTAAGAGCAAGGAGGGTCAGAATCATGATGGGAAAAACCACAGAAATAGCTGACCCAAGCTAATGGGAGCTCATGGACTCTGAACCAACAGCTGGGGAGCCTGCATGGGACTGAATTAGGCCCTCTGAATGTGAGTAAAAGTTGTGTGGCTTGATGTGTTTGTGGGTCTCCTGGCAATGGGACCAGGACTTATCCTGGGTACATGATGGTGTGATGTCTTACTCAGCCTTGATGCAGGGGGGAGGGGCTAGGTTCGTCCTCAACATTGTATGGCAGCCTGTGTTGACTACCCAAGGGAGGCCTTACCCTCTATGAGGAGGGGGTGGAGGTAAGATGGGGATAGGTGAGGGGAAGTGGGGGAAAAGGAGGGAGAGGGAACAGGGGTTGGTATGTAAAAGGAAAGAAAATTTTTTAATAAAAAATTACATAAAAAACTTTCTGAAAATCTGTCTCCACACAGCTACATTCTTTACATAAAACTACATATCTCTCTTTACATAATGCATCTCTCTCCTACAAAGCCACACATCTCTGTCCACAGTTATGTCTCTCTCTCTTTTTTTTTTTTTTGGTTTTTCGAGACAGGGTTTCTCTGTGTAGCTTTTCACTTTTCCTGGATCTCGCGCTGCAGACCAGGCTGGCCTCAAACTCACAGAGATCCGCCTGCCTCTGCCTCCCGAGTGCTGGGATTAAAGGCGTGCGCCACCACCGCCCGGCTATGTCTCTTTTTTACATAGCTCCACATCTTTCTTCTACACACATTTCTTCTCTCTACTTTGCTACATTCCTTCACACACTACTACATCATTTACTCACTCTTTACTCACTCTCTCATTCATTCACTCACTTCCCTCCACACACACATTTCTGCCCTACATACACATCTCTGTCTCCACAGTAAAAACTCTGGACAAATATGAGTTACATTTTCAGGGTCACAAAGCATTTCTTGAGTAAATAATAAGAGACAGAGCCATTCTGACATGCATAAGAAATCACACAGTTTCTCTCAGGTTTGGGAGGTCGAGCTGACTGGGCACGGTGAATAAAGCAGGCATGTAGCTCTGAGTGGTTAGCTGTTGTGTGGTATTTTGTTTGTGTTCTGACAAATAAAGCTTGCCTGGAGATCAGAGGTCATAGCTAGTCACTAGTTAACCATAGCGGCCAGACAGAGAGTGACATTGAAATTCAGGACTTAAACAACAAACAGTTAGTTTGCTGAACCTTGAGGTTAGGAGTACATGCAGAAAGTCAATTGCCACAGGGAGCTTATGTCTTAGTGTTATCTGCCAGGCTTTGGTTCAATAGACACCTGGGAACTTGCCCTTGTGCAATTTGTCTCCAGGGGCAACTAGTCTACTTTGGACTTGTTCTGAGGTCTTAGCTAAATGTGTGAAAAACTGTCTTTGTAGCTGAGAATATAGTTATTTTCCTATGTCAGTCTGAGTATGAAAAATATCCTAGTATTACTTTTAGTCATAGGAATTATACAGATTAAACAGAAATCATCTTCCTGATCATCCACAGCTATTATGAGTGCCCAAAGATGGAATATTTTCATGAGATAAACACACAAGCAGTGGGAAAATACCCACAGCTGTTTTTTGGGAAGAAATGTAGTAGCCCATGAAAACATTATAGACAGAGCAACCAGTCCAGAGTCTGTGGTCTGTAAACCTTGCTTAACGAGGTTCCTCCATCAGAGGGTTATTCCTCTGGTAGTCGACACCTGACTTATCAATTGCCATTTGTTGCGTATTATTAATGGCCACCAGCATATCCCCATTCAATTTTACATTGTTTATATTTCTTTTTTTAAAAAATTATCCTCTGAGAAATTCATACATCTACATGATGCATTTCCATCATCCATATCCATTGCTTTCTCTTCTCTTCCTCCTACTCCCACTGTACCAGTCCCTTCCTATTTCTTTATCTTCTTTTGTGACCTGCTGCATTTCATCAGGGTTGTTGCATGAGCATGAGTTTGGGATTATTTACCAGTGCATATGCAGGTTACCAGAGATGTGCCTCTAAAAAATATTACTCATTCTTCCCCAGCAATAATTAACTTACAATGGCTCCTCAGGTAGGGGTAGGGTCTTAAGAGCCCTCTATCCATGATGGAGTATTAATGGGTCTAATATTGTGCAGATTTTCTGCAGGTAACTAAAGCTATTGTGATTTCATGATGCAAAAGCCATACCATGTCCAGAAGATAATGTGTCCTTCCCTTTTGTCTTCCAGCTCTTACATTCTCTTTGCTCCATCTTCTGTGATGCTCTGTGAGCCTCTGAGAAGGTGATAGAGTTGTGTTACATAGGGCTGAGCACTCACCAGTCACTTATTCTTAACATTTGGATAGTTGTGAGTCTGCTGTGAGTCAACTGTTGACAAATGCAAGTCAAAACTCCTCACAGCAAGGGAGAGAACAGCATAATTTGTAGGCATAAAAAACATAAATATTTAGATGACAGTTTGACACCATGTCCCTTCAGTAAAACAATAGGAGTCTATCTCCTCACCTCTCATGAATTACGACCTTCCCAGCCAGGGATGGGAAGTTTACAGTTTCAGGCATGAATTCTCTCTTAGAAATGACCCTAAATTCCAACCAGGAAGAAGTTGGTTACCCCCATAAAGGTCTTGTCAGTATTGTACCAGTGGGCACATATGCCTGGCAGGTAAGTACTGTAGTGCACAGGGTTCACAGCTGGGCAAAATCTTTGATGGCTTTCCTCTGCCATCAGCCTGCTCAGCACCCAGCACCATAAAAGTTCACTTCCAAAGAAGAAGCTTCAAGTTCAGCTCCAGCTAGATTTTTCTGTGCCCTGCAAAAAAATATGTTGTGTCTTCAGCAGCAGCTTCTTAGTATCTTCTGGGATTTCCCTGGCCAACAATGCACGGGGAAGTATTCTACACTAGGCACTGCAGTTTTCATTTGCAAACTCATGGCTTCTGGGAGCCACATTATCTATCCATGCAGGGTACCTCCACTCCTATATTTTACAAGTTATATTTTTAATTAGCTTATACAGTAGGCTTTTATTGGTGAAATTATTAAGGCCACTCCACATAGTTAAAAGGGAGGTTTATTTTGTGGGGTAACTTACAAGTGAATGGATAGTTTACAAAGTCTGGGAAAGGCATGGCGCAGTTCAGCCGTGTTCTCTGGAGAACTCTGCTCGGTCTACCTCCAGCGTCCAGGGTCCAGGAACCAAGAGAGCCGGTGCATCTGGATCTCGGGTCTTCAGGGTCCTCTCTTGGTCCCGCCTTGTAGGCGTGACAGTTACCAAAGCCTCAATGGGGGTTGGAATTTCCGGATCAAAGCTGGAATGGCTACCCACTACAGGCTTTCATATGGCATTTTCATATCTCCTAAGTGTCAATCCTTCCACCATATCTCTTTCCATCTCCTGCCCTGATCCCTAATGAACTCTTTCTAACTGAGTCTTCCATGATCCTTTCATCATCTGTGTTCTGTGGTTAGCCACTTTAATGTGTTTTTTCTTGTTCCTTCATGACCTCTTACTAGCTTCTTGGCCTCTACAGACACTCCAAGTTAAGCTTACAAGTTTAAAACTTTGAAGCTAGGATTCTGATATGAGACTGCACACAGCCTTTGTCTTTCTGGGTCCAGGTTACCTTAGCATGGTATTTTCAGTTCTATCCATTTTATTGTAAGTTTTGTGATTTCATTTTTCTTCATAGCTGAATAGAGTTTCATTGTGTATATGTTTATACCACACTTTCATTATCTGTTCTTCAGTTGATGGACATCTAAGCTGATTCCATTTTCTAGCTATTGTGAATGGGGTATCAGTGAACAAGGATTTGGAAGTACATTATTAGTATTAATAATACATTGGGTATCTAACTAGGAGTGAAATATCTAGGTCATATGTATTTCTATTTTTTCTTTTTAAGAAATCTCTTCACAGAACTCCATAGACTTAAACTGCTTTACACTTCCACTAACACTGAATAAGGATTCCGTTTCCCCAGCATCCTGCCACTTCAGAAGTGCCTTGTTCTTTTTTATGATGCTGACATTTTTGAGGAATTTAGTCAGATATTTTGTAGAATATAAAGCAATTGGGGCTTTATCTAATTATTCACTCATGATTGGATATCAAAATATTTACCTTCACCAACTTGAATCACCACTATTAAACTTTTTCCACTGGGCTCTGGTTGAGCAAGTGTTTATCATATTTCTCCTTAATAAAGTTATTTTCTTCCTCCCCTCTATTTGGTGAAAGAAAGTCATTATGTACAGTCCTAAGATTAAGAAATGGGGAATTTCAGCCGGGCGCTGGTGGCGCACGCCTTTAATCCCAGCACTCGGGAGGCAGAGCCAGGCGGATCTCTGTGAGTTCGAGGCCAGCCTGGTCTCCAAAGCGAGTTCCAGGAAAGGCACAAAGCTACACAGAGAAACCCTGTCTCGAAAAACCAAAAAAAAAAAAAAAAAAAAAAAAGAAATGGGGAATTTCATTTTGTTTTCATGGGTAGTCTAACTACATAAATTATTTGAAATTCTTGGAATGTATGTCTCTTTCCTTTTTGAACTCCACATCATTTATCAATTTTATACTTTGATCAATAATGTAATACAGTCACCCTTAGGCACCCACAGGGGATTGGCTTTAGGTTTTCAAGTTCCTTGTGTAAAATTTCATAGTAATTGCATATATATATATTCTTATATATTTAAAATTATCTCTAGATTGTTTATAAAACTTAATGCAATATGAATGTTGTGTGCTACATTTGATCTTAGCCAAAGAACCATAAAAGAATAAATGTTGTGCAAATAGTTGTCATGCTATAGTACTATGTAAATGACAAAAATTCTGTCATACTTCATATAGGTATGATTTTTTGAATATTTTCCTTCAATGGTTGTATCTGCAGATGGAGAGTTAGTGTTTGTTCTTCAAATTGTTTCAGTTTTGACCACTGGGTGTTTTTTCAGAGTTTTTTGTCTTTGACATAACACATAATTGTGGATTCATTTATTAATTTTTCAAATTAAACACTTCTTTAAAATATTTTAAATTTATTTTTACTTTGTGTATATCAATGCTTTGCCTACAAGCGTGTATGTGCACCATGATGCTACCTATATCCCCTGAGACTGGAGTTATAGATAGTTGTGAGACACCATACAGGTTTTGGGAATTGAATCTAGGTCCTTTGGAAGAACATCCAATGTTCTTAGCCTCTTAGTCATCTCTCCAGCTCCAAATTAAATACTGCTTAAAATCACTTTATTTTTGACAGTACAAGATGATCCTGGGTCACCTTGTATGCTTCATAGTAGGATTGTAAAATCATCCATTTCTCCAAAAAGCTCTAGTTCTTTTTACTGGAGATTAATATTAGAAATCAAGATCTGAGATCCAAGTGTGCTTGTTACTACTCCCAGAATGTTAACAACAGTTTCTCACTGATGATAAAGCAAGGGAAATTTTCTGTGTGGAAACTACATTTTTAAGAAAAATGGACATATATATCACATGATTCTACACACACATTACACACATATAAAATAATTCCATGTGAATTTTCCTGCCTGTTGAACTGGAAGCCTGTTTCCTGGACATCAACTAGATGCCTTCTAATGTATTTAAATGAGTTAGGAAATTGAATTGATTTTTTTTTGGCTATTCCCATGAATATCTTAGATATCCATGATTATCTTTGCAAACAGAGGTACTCTCTTTTTTAAAAAATATATTTGTATAACAACAATGACAATCTATTGGAAAGAAGAGAGAGAGAGAGAGAGAGAGAGAGAGAGAGAGAGAGAGAGAGAGAGAGAGAGAGACCTTTCAGAGAAGGGGACAGATTTGTTTACTATTCAGAACAACAAAGATTATCTCTCTCAGAGGCAAAATTTGGGCAGGTTTACTTGTGCGGCTTATTGTAAAAGATTTAGGCTTCTTGAGTTCACGGTTCCTTAGGTGCAATGCACAGTATTCACCAGAAAAGATCTTTACTCTTCACAGCACTTGAGGGCAAAGAGTACCTGTACAAACATTTTTCCCACTCTGCTTTACTAGGACATAAGTAACAAAGTCTGTTGTCTCATCCAAAGGCCCAGTTGTTGTATGTGTTGGCCATGAGACCAGCAAGGCAACCGTTTGCTTGCAGCTGGGTAAAATCCCAGACTCATCAAGGTTTGGATACTTTCCTTTCAATTTAGGTTCAATAATAGCAATTTTGTGATATTTCCCAGATAAATTTAAGGTCTTTTTGAGTAACTAGAGATAATGGAAAATTCAATAGGGATACTATTGCAACTCTCATGTAGAATAAATAAAAAAGTTGCAATTCAACATCACAACTTGTTTAAAGGAGAGGTCAAAGACAAAAACATACAGAGTAAAGGAGTGTTGAAACCCACTCATAAATGGACAGGAACCTGGCTCTACCAGGGAAAGTGCAGTAGGAAAGCAGGACTTGATGTAGTCTCTTGAAATGTGGTTCTGTTCTTGTTAGGATTTGTGTTGCCACCAGTTATCCATAACTTACAGTTATAAAAAGGCCCCTAGACAAGGAGAGGCACACACATTTACAGAAACGCATAATCTAGAAGATTTACTGTAAATGATAGTGTTATACTGTAGACCTATCATAATCTTTTTTGTTCCTCATACCAAAACTTTAAATTTTTCTTACACCAGGAATGAGTCCTACACCCTTTCCAAAGCAATTGGTGATGTGTGGGAGTGTGGGAGAATCAGCAAGGAAAACATCTGAAGAAAAGCCTGGACACCTATGTAACAGAGATGCTGTAAGAGGCTCTAGTGATCTGGTCTAGGAGTGGGGTCTAATGTAGAACATTTGCTCAAACTCAAACTCCCTTGAGAAAGAGAAATCTTGACTGATGACATTGAGAATTTCCTTTACTGACCAGTAGGTGTTGCTAGGAAGTCATGAGGGAGGTAGGCGGGGCAACATCTAATCCATCATGAATTGAGAGGGGCAAACGGGTGAACTTATGAATGGTGACTTCCGTTCTCTCTCTCTCTCTCTATTATAGCAAAATGTCTATCTGAATATGGACTCAACAAATCATTGTCTTCATCTGTTTCTGCCTTGTGCAAGTACCATCAAATGCTGATTCTTTCACCCACATATTTTTAAATAATTTCTAATTAATGACAGTGTAATGGGGGACTGGTTAGCAAGCCCTTTATAATTTTATGTGATGAGTATTTGTATAAAACATTGAAAATAAAGAGATATCAACTGCTTGTTGAAAATAGGGCTGGAAATGGCAGGGAATGAACTGGAAGGCTTCTGAACTGGCTTCTTTTCAGCTTTCCAGGCTCTCAGAGGCCTTTCACTTTTCTCCATTACCTCCCTTGCTTAGTAGCACCTGGGGCTCACTTTTGGGAAAGAGTCCATTCTCTATACCATTCAGGATCTTCTGAGTGTGGTCAGTCCACATGCTTCCCCTTCAGTGACCAGAGAAGGGAGTCTGAGGTCAAGTGATGCTCATCAGAAGTTCAGTGTTTGGAGACTGTGTGGAGCATGGAAGTCATGGGTATGTTGTCTTATGATATCTTAAAACGACGCTCTGGTAGTTCTTGCTTTCTAGAACCTGTAGCTGCCATGTTTGTTTCTTTCCTCAGAATGCCAGCCTTCATTGTTCCTTTAAGTTTACGAATCATCTTGTTTTCTTCAGCAAATTCACATATGCCTCTGTCATCAAAAGAAAAAGCTCCCAACTCAAAGGAATAAAAGACATGATTTATTCTGGAGCAAATATGAGTGACAATGGTCCAGGAACATACATTTAGATCTTCCTAACTATAGTTTTCCAATGGGAAGCAGTTTTGTGGAGTTTTATAGTAACAGTACAAAAGAGCATTACAAATCAAGGCATTAAAAAAATACATTTGTGGGCCATCAGAGAGGCAGGTTAAAGCAAGATGAGGGAAATCTTTCTTATGGGCCTCAGATACTCCCTGGTCACATTGCTAGCTTTTGAGTTGGTTGAAAATAATGGTCTGCTGAGTTAGTAAAATACAGAGGCTTTTGTCTATTAGTCACAGGATATTAGTTCCCACACAGAGGTATTTAGGGAGTGAAAATTAGCCCAAGATTCAGAGTCATTAGGCTCTCTGTCCTCAAAATGTCCCAACCCATCCACATCACTGAACCTATCCCCACCACTGCAGTTCAAATCAATGCATCAGTCTTTGCAGACACAGCTTCTTCCCAGGAACTCTCTGTCATACCAAGAATAGTCATAGTTGCTTCTGTTGACTGCAGCCGACAGATCAGGACTAGTCTAGTGGGATAAAGGTTTTAACCCTTCAGAAACCATCCCAATGGATTCTATAAAATCTCTGTTAAACTTACCATTGAGAAGGGCTGGTCTCAGGTTGATGGTCTGAGAGGTAACGAATAACTATCATTTACAGACCTCGATTGTACTCCACACAATGTCCTAAACATTAACCTGTATTATCTTGTTTAATATTCAGAATGGCCTCATTGGACAGGCGTTATTATCCCTGTATAACAGATGATAAATCTGAGGGTGAACGGCAGTAGCTTTCCCATTATCTTATAAAGGTTTATTCTATAGAATATTAGCTTTTCAAAACTGCGTTATATTTTTTAGAGCAGCCAAAATCAAGTATCTCTAAGTGGGTAGCCTTAAACACAGAGACATCTTATCTCATGCTTCTACTAGTCTGTAGTGCCATGTTTTCTGAAAGACGGCCTTGCTTACATCTTCTAGCTGGTTCCCTTGGATTATAAATTCATTACTACAGTTCTGCCTTTGTGATCACAATGGGCTTTCCTTTCTGCACATCTCTTTTCCTCATACGAACAGTTATAGTGGATTATTTGGTGCCCCTCTGTTCAAGTATGACCTCATTTTCCTTAACCATTTGTATCTATGGTGACCCTATTTCCAAATACATTGCATTCTGATGTACTGGGCTGCCAGAATTCTTTCTTTAACTTAATCTACAGACTTTGTTATAGTCTTATTAAGGATTGTTCAAAAAGAATTCTGCAGTTGAATAAGTTTGAGACACACTATTAAAGGAATTTCTCCAGTGAAACCCGGGGTGTAGTAATGCTGGTCTGTTCTCAGCCCGCTGGGACAAGCCTGGTGCGGGAGCCTCCCCCGCCTCCGGCTTTCGCTTTTATCAGCTGTGTCACTTGAGACAAGCACTCCTCTTTGAGTCTGAGTTTCCTTATTTCTAAGAAACCATACTATCCTTTCCCCACAGGTTTCTCGAGGGAGTAAATTAAATGAGGTTGACTGAACAACATCCGCTCCAGTGTCTGGCATAGAAACAGGTAGGCGCTTAAGAGCAGGCACTTTTGTTATGCTCGCCAGATGGTTCTGAATTTCTTGGCAGTTTTTTAATTTAAATTTTTGTTTTTAGAGAATTTCATATGTGAGTAATATTTACATTTCTACTCCTCTTTTTCACCTCCAAATTCTCCCATATTCTTCCTGACCCTCTCAACCTAATGGCGCCTTCCTTTGTACTATTCTTCTTGCTCCTTGGAAAATACCCCCACAACAAAAAACCATAAAATCCTACGGGGTCCACTTGGTGTTTGCTGTTGCTTTTATATACACCTCTGACCTCTTGGGGTTGGATAACCTATCAGGGGGCTTATCCCTGGAGAAAACTGATTCTCCATCTCTCAGCAGCCATTGATTGGTTGTAGCTCTTCAACTAAGGGTGTGGTCGTGTGAGATTTCCCCCATCCCTGTTGGTATATCAACTGGTATCATTATACAGGTCATATTTAATCAACCATATTGTCATAACGCTGAGATTTCGTGGGTGCAGCGTCCCTGTCCTGTCTAGAAGACACTATCCAGCTGCAGGCACCCTGGTCTTTTGGCTCCTGTAATCGTTCTACCCCTCTTCACACTGTCCCCTGAGCTTTAGGTGTAGAGGTTGTGTTGTGGCTGTATCAACTGGGGCTAGGAACCCTGTGATCTGTTGTTCTTTGCATTTGACCAGTTGTGAATTTCTGTAATGATCTTAGTCAGCTGCACAAAAGAAGCATCTTTGATGAGGGTCAAGAGCTACACCTATCTGTGGGTGTAAGTATCAACAATACATTTAGAAATTATGCTATTTTGACTTAGACAAATGACCGTAACAGGGTCTCCTCCTGGATCTAAGACCTCTCTCCAGCCAGGGGTAGTTGGCTAGGTTTACAGTATCAAACATGAATCCCTCCCTTAAAGTGACCCTTAAATCCAATTAGACAGTAGTTGGTTACCCCCAAGATGTAAGTGCCACTACTGTACCATTGGGGAGGTCTTGCCATGCAGGTCACTGCTGTGGTTCGTAGGCTTTAGAGCTGGGTAGGACTGTTGATTAGCTTTTCTCCCGTGGCAGTTTGCATAGCAGCTTCTGATGCTGAGAACCAGTCCTCATGGAGGGGGCTTCCAGGTCAGTTCCATCTCAAGTCCTCCAGGGCCTGTGTCTGAAGCGTGTGCTGTCTTCAGCAACAGGATTCTACCTTCAAACTCTTGGAGCCCACCAAGGGCATTAACAATTAGCCTCCATATTTTTTTCTTCCCCTACTTGAGACAGGGGTCTCACTATGTAGCTCTGGCTATCCTGGAACTCATTCTGTAGCCCAGGCTGGCCTCAAACTCACAGAGATCCATCGGCCTCTGCCTCCTGAGTGCTAGTGTGGATCACCATGCTTCGATCTATTGTTTTGAGAGTTTCCTTGACCATTCTGACCAGAAATTTGAAGGGAAGTTTCCCATGCCTGCCTGACATTGGGGTTTCTGTGATGTAATCTATGAATCTTGTGGCACAACTGCCTTTCAGACAGACAGACAGACAGACAGACAGATAGACACACACACACACACACACACGCACACTTCATATATTTTTTTAAATAAACATATAAAATAATGTTTTTCCTAAGGCTTTCCCAAAGATCCCCAGTGTTCTTTGGCTTTCCTTCCCCCCTCTCCCTCTGTCTTACCTCTCCTCCTCCTCTCTCCCCAGTTAAAGCCCCTCCCCTGCTCCCTTTGCCCTGTTCACACCCCTGCATCCTATTAAACCCATCTTTACAGTGCATTGCCCCCCTCCCTCCCATGATCTCTTTCTATTTTTTCAGCTTCTGTGCTTACTTCAGGTTCACATGTTCACATCTAAAGATCTGGAGCTAGGTTTCATAAATAAGAGAGGACATGTGGCATTTGTCCTTCTGGGGCTGGGTTGTTTTAGTATAATATTTTTCATTTCCATCCATTTACCTGCAAATTTCATGCTTTCATTTTTCTTTACACCCGGGCCTCTTAAGAGTGTGCAGACAGTGTAGGGGGTTGAGCACTCACTTGGCTGGGCTGGTGCACATGGAAGTGTGGGGATGGAGACAGCTTCTTAGGATTTTTATTAAGAACTTTTAAAATCTCCAGAATAATTTCTAAGCAGGGAAGTTTTATTGTTCATCTCATCATTTTTTTTCCTCTTTAGGAGAAGAGTTTTACATATGATAATAAAAATTTACATCTGTTAACTATTTGAATCAGCTTTTCTACTTAATTTCCAGCATTAGGAAAGCATGGGCTGTTCGGCAGTATAGTTCCTTTTTCTGACTCGTCACCCCAGTGAGGGGAAAAGGATGTCATCATGTAGTCACCAGCAGAAGAGAAATTTCGAAAGAGACCTCACTGTCAGAAGGGCAGCCCACAACCACCTCGGCTCTCAGAGGAGACTGAGCTCCTCAGTGAATGTGTCTGAGGAGTGGACCAGTGTGTCTGTCCACTAGGCATGGAACCAAAGCGGATCAGGGAGGGCTACCTCGTGAAGAAGGTAAGCAGGGAACCCACTTCCAAGGGTGGATAGACCTAGAGAGGGGCTTGCCAAGGATTAGTGCTTGCTTCATCCTCTGCCCATCACTTGCAGGGGTGTTCCACGTTGGATCTCTTAGGTTGGAATGAGAACTATAGAGAGTGTGTTGGGGTAGGGCTGCCTCCACATGTTCTACTACCCTTTTTGTCTCAAAAACGAATTGACCTAGCTCAGGCTTCAGCGCAGTTTGCCCTCCCAAGCCTGAGAATTCCAGACTGCCGGGTGTGGAAGGCGAAAATCCAGATGAACTTTTTCATGATTTGAAACACTTTGCTTTTTGGTAAAAAAAAAGCCTCAAATTCTTCTGTTACAGACGTTACCTGGAGGACTGTTCAGTTCTTATTTACATCTCAGGGTGGAGGAAGGATTAGGGTGGGCTGGGTGGGGGTTAGTTACAGTTCAGGAGATCTAACAATAAACTGACAAAACAGAAGAGCTAATTTCTTGGACCTTCTTGGACTTACTCCATGAAAGAAAGACCTTATGTTTTTGTTTCAAGGGTGTGAGGGTAGTTGGAGGTGGTGATGGTGAGTGTGGGCTGCAATTTCTTACTCACAACTTTAGTGAATTCGTATAACAGATCACCAAAGTGGTAGATGTATCATCTTACAAAACACAAGTGGAGACGTGAGAACACTAAAAATTGCTTCATGTCATGGAAAATCAAATTTTATTAATGTCTCTTCTCTTTCTCCTGCTGTTGTGTGTGTTTTGAGCTGTGAAAGTTCCTTGCATGGTGCATTCACACGTAGGGGTTGCTGGCATCCTGTGGGCAATATGCTGCGCATAAACACACTTACATGAAGCCAAGTGAGTTCAGCAGCTCAGAAATGTTGCTTCTGACTAAATTCACGAGTGCCTTTCTAACCAAATAAGCAGGCAATGTGACTATTATTTTCTTTTAAACTCAATTAAATTCAGTAATTAGCTGGTTAATCAAATTTTGAGATTGAGTTTTACTCTACATCTCTTAATGTATTCATAAGGCTGAACTTGAACTGGTAGCAAGCCCCCTGACTTGGTCTCCCAAATGCTGGGATTACAGGAATGAACAACCACACCCAGCTGTGACTTTATATTTTAGAGTTGCATTTGTTTTTTTTTAGTTTAAAACAGTCTATGTCTATGGCCACTAAACAGTACACCTTGTGATCTGGTTCCATTTTTATTTTGGGTTAGAAAGAAACAGTGAAGACATCAAGATGCCAAGGCAGGGAGGTGTGACAGAGTCCGGAGAAACACCCTCTCTAACTTTGGGCAGTGAGTTCTTTTCTTTTCTTTTCTTTTTTTTTTTTTTTTAGCGCCCTACGGTTTTCCTGAAGCAAAGCTAATCTTCATTAGGGTTCACTGTGTACCTGTGGTGGCCAGAGTTATGAGTTGGTGCTGGAGAATACATGGGCCTTCAATGTATTTTGAAACATCCTTTCTAAAAAGAACATGTAAAAGAAACAGCTGGGCGTAGGTTTTTGGTAACCGGCACCCATGCCTTCTCTCTCTGAGAACCGAAAGGAACTGTGGTTCACTGCTCTCCTCCCTGATCACACTGAATAGTAGCTCATTTTGTGTGTGTGTTTCTCCGTGTCTCTGTATCTCTATGGGTGCACATCTTCCATGGTGTGTGTACAAAGGTTCGAGGACAACTTGCGGGAGTCTGTTCTGTTTGTACCCCATGTGGGTTCTGGGAATTTGGCTCAGGCCCTTCTGCTTGCTGGCAGGCACCTTTACATGCTGAGCCATGTCACAGGCCATGCCTTGTTTTAATACAAAATGACAAAATTGCTGTTATAAAGTTGGTGTGCTTATATGTTATAGTCACTATACTACAAAAATACAGATGATTCAATCTGCAGTAAGTAAGACCATTTCCCTAGAAAGTGGGGGTGGAAGACTCAGGACTGTGACTCATCTGGACTTAATAGTTTTTAATCAGTCAGCAATTCTCTAAGATGGTTACCGATGAGTGTAAATCTAGGAAAGACTAGAAGAGAGCATAGTGAAATCTCACATCAATATTTCTACAATGTATGTCTCCCAAAATTCCTGTGGAAATCACATTCACACTACACTTCAATTTACATGATATTCAACCTAACATGCATCTTTTCACATTGCCTTGCGTTTCCTCAGGGGCACTCCTTCTTATAATATACTTAGATTTTCTATCTTGATACTTTTGTTTGAATTTTCTTTCTGTGTCCGACTTTAAATCCACGGCCTCACACATGGTTAGGTAAAAGTCCTTTCCCACTGAACCGTACCCCCAACTCTCTAATTTGGCATTTTACAGAACCATTGGCTTCAGAAATAGTTTGTCAACTGTAGATGTAAACTTGATGCTAGGGTTTCTTAATTAGGCATCAAAATTCTTAACTTCCTTATATTTTAAGTTTCTTTCAGTTATATAATATTGGGTTAAAAATCTATTATCTGTCTGTCTATCTATCTATCTATCTATCTATCTATCTATCTATCTATCTATCTATCTACCTACCTACCTACATACCTAGAAACCTAGCATACAGGAAAGAACCATGAGAATCTCCTTCTGCGGAGACTTTAGGAGTCATGGGTGTGGCTGCTTAGATGCAAGCATGCCAAGTAACAATAATGGAAGTGATTTCCTGCTCTTTGCTTCATTGTCCTATTCAGTTGAAGATTCCAGGGTAGGAATTAAACATGCATTTCTCCTATGCCTTATGCAATATTTTGTTGTTGTTTTCGAGACAGGGTTTCTCTGTGTAGTTTTGGTGCCTGTCCTGGATCTTGCTCTGTAGACCAGGCTGGCCTTGAACTCACAGAGATCCGCCTGGCTCTGCCTCCCGAGTGCTGGGATTAAAAGCCTGCACCACCACCTCCCGGCTCAATAATTATTTTTGAGTTAGGATATTATGGTTGGAAAAAATGTAACATTGGAAAATGCTGGTGTAGGAATTTTGTCAAGTCTTAGGGTTGATGGCTAATGGTATAGATTGTAACATGTCTCTTCTTTGTCCCCCCTCTCCCTGTGTCTTTCTCTCTGTGTCTTTCTCTCTGTGTCTCTCTCTGTCTCTGTCTGTCTCTTTGTCTCTATCTTCGCCTCTGTCTTTGTCTCTCTGTCTCTCTGTCTCTCTGTCTCTCTCTCTGTATATAGGCTTGTGACACAGTGTGTGTGTGTGCTGAGGTCAGTGGACAACTTGCAGAGGTCAGTTTTCTCCTTCCACCGTGTGGTCCCTGGAGATTAGGCTCAAGTCATCAGGCTTGGCAGCAAGTGCGTTTCCTCCTGAGCCATCCCATGAGCCCATGTTTCTCTCTTTGTTCTGTTAGAGATAACTGTCCGCATTTCACAATTTGTGTTTCCTCTTTTGCCTCCTGGCTAAGATCCTTAAATAGAGAGGACGGTTAAGAAGGGGAGAGAAGAATGTGACTATCACTCTTCAACCCTTCATTCCAAATAGCACTCCTCGCTGCCGCGTTTGTCACTTGGGAATATTTTCAGTAGCATCTGTGGCCCTGTGGATATGCCAACGTGATCTCTCTTCAACCCCCAAACCTCACAGAGAGTAGGTGACTTGCTCATTATCAGACAGCTGTAAGATGATGACCTGGGGTTCAAACCTAGGCTTGCCTAATAGCAAAGCCCCATCTATGCTCTGAAAGGCACAGGTATATTGCAAATAACACTGCGTTTAGTAACTTCAGCTCTTTCTTTCTGATTAGGGGATTAGTTTTTGAGAAATAATGAGTTTGATTATTCTTGATTACCTATGAACTGGATGTTCTTATAACCATAGCTTTAAAACAAGAGAAAATTCCTCCATGTTATGTCTCTCATTGCTAAAACCTAGTTTCCATGACAACAGCCCAGCAATCACAAGGTACTTAAGGACAGACTCAAACAGTGGCTTAAGACTTGTTGATAGACAGCACAGAAATCAGGGTGGTAAGAAATACAAGGCCAGGGGGCCAGGAATGAATTTCCAGAGACTTATGGCAGAAGGTGTATATTGTTGAGCCCAGTGTTGAGCTTGTGTTGGGAAGAGGGGTTTGTTGAGGGTAGAAGCCTCATAAGAGAGGCTGACTGGGGAAGAGGTGTTAATCCAAGTACAATGTATGACATTGTTAAAGAATAAGTAACTAAGTAACTGAACCAGAAGTTGGCAAGTCTGGGATAAAGAGAACAGAACAGACTGAGGATTTTGTCCAAGAATTCTTTCCTGCAGCCATGTTGTCTTCTGAACAGAATGAAATGATCCCTAGAAGCTTACATTCCCTTCTGGTGGAAGTTAATATTTGTGCTCACAACGTTAGGGACAGTTCTAGCATTTGGTGCATTAGTGCTCTATAGACCATTCCGAGGAAAACCCTAGGGAATGGATACAATTATCTATTCTTTGCAGATGAGGAAGTTGAGGTACAGAGAGGCAGAAGGTCTTGCCTAAGGTCCCCAAGATAAACCTTGGCACAGCTGATGTAGAACCAGGCATAGCCCAGTGCTGTGTGTCACCACCGTAACCGGTTTTCATGTGGTCCTCATCAGCTGAAACTGCACTGACCTTCTTTTTCAAAGAATTTTTTTCTCTGATAGATGGGCCCTGGGACGCTGTCAGGCCAGAATCATTCAGATGGTATTGCTTACAAAATTGGGCTCTGACCTGTCTATGTTGTGGCCCTTTCTGAGGCCCTGCTAAAAGCTAACACTGTGCTAATCACTTTTAAGTGTATCATATCATTTAGTGTTTATAAGGAGAAGTAGGTACTGATGCTTAGAAGAAATGAATAGTTTGCTTAAGGTCTCAGAGCCTGGGAAAGACAAAGGTAAAATGTGAGAACAGACCTGAAGTTCAGGAAATCAGTCTGTTAAGTGCACTGCTCTTCTGTACAGCTTATTTAATGTGCCTTTGTTAGAGAAAGTCCAGTCTCATAGAATGTATTCATATAAAAATATATCACTGGATAGGCTTGTCTCCTTGCTTCCAAAGGGT